ACTCGAACTGTCGTTCCTGGTCCGTGGACTGAAATCGGTCAAGAACTAAACGAAGGTGTTCAATGTGCTCATTTTCATTTGTCGAAGCTACGAGAATATCATCGAAATATGGCACACAAAATCAAAGTAATGAAGGACTTCAGTTATGAACGCTTAAACGTTTGTGCGGCGTTACACAACCCAAAAGTCATAACAGGAAATTCGAATAATACAAAAGGAGTTATGACAGCAGTTTTTAGTATATCAGATGGATTGACCCGAATCTGATGATAAGCACGAGTTAAATCTAACGTAGAAAAAACACTGGTTTCCAAGACTTGCATGCAGTCCTGAATATGCGAAACTGGATATCTGTTAGGCAAAGTAACTGCGTTAAGATGTCGGTAGTCCCCACAAGGACACCAGTCGCCGTTTTTCTTGGGAACCATGTACACTGGACTGGCCCATGAACTTTTTGAGGACCGACAAATTCCCTGTTTAAGCACATATTTAAATTCTTCTTTTGCGGCCCTTAATTTCCCAGAAAACAACCGCCTTGCTTTGGCAAAGATTGGTGGTCCAGTGGTCTCTATGTAATACACAATACCGTGGTCAGCAGCTAGTGTGCAGGTTACCGAGCGGATAACATTAGGATACTGCTCAAGTAGTTTGTGGAAAGGAGAATTAGCGGCAATTAATTTAATGCCAAAATTAGTGGTATTTTCGATACCACCTACAGCAGATAATTGTGTGATTTTGTCGAGTAAGCGTCGATTTTTAATGTTGACGAAAAGAGAAAATTTTTGCGGAATATTATATATAAATATATATATATGTATGTATGTGTGTATCCTCTTTTTGAGGGTTATTATTATTATTATTATTATTATTATATGTTAGTAAATCGTGCATTTTTTGTTTTAAAAGAGATTGAATTTTGTTGTTCTTATGTTCCGGTTAATGTTTTTATGACCTTAATTAATCTGCATGAAATTGCATGAAATATTTGCAGAATTATCAACAATTTAAAGGATTATGTGAAGCTACGCCTAACGAGGCCGCCATTTGTTTACATTTAAAGCTGTTAGTAGAATTGTGAATTAAGTACGTTAGTGTACTTTGAACTTTAGTGTATTTCTATCCAGTAAGACCAAAAATTAACTTTTAATTTGGCCCGCCTAAATTCAATATATTATAATTACTTGAATAAATGTTAGTCTGAAAATTTTAATATTTAATTGTCAATACGTTTGAATTACAAACTGTGACCAACAGAAATTTCTTGCAGATATTAACTGTTAGATTTTAGACAAAGTATGAATTTAACTATTTTTATGTCATTTTTATTTTGTATGTTTTGACAAATATGTAATAATTTTCCCTTTAAATTTAATTAACTGTAAGGTTTATCCTAAGTTTTTAACAGTTAAGTTAAAGTCACTTTCCTATCCTTCTTAATTTCAGCTTTCCTGCCAGAACGTGTTTTCAGAACTGCGGTTAAATGCAAATGAAGGAAGAGCAAGTATTTAAAGTTGAAGTTCTACTGACTTCGTGAGCTAGCCAGAGTTCTGACCAGCAAGCGTTCGCCTTTTGGCTATACTCTGTCTAAAACTATTTGTACGTTTGGCCGTACTTTAGGCCCTTGATAGCTTCGCTGTTTAGTTAGCGTTAAGAGGCCAACTCCTGTAGATTTGTGATAGCTTCGGCTATATCTCTTTAGTTAAATTTAGTTAAGTTTTATTTCTTAGCATTCTTGAGTTCAAGCCCAAGTAGAGGCTTTTCTGTACGTCCTGAGAGAGGACCGATTGTGAACTTTATTTGAACAATAAAGGGTAATTAACCCTTCGTCGTTTACGTATTTATCTTGCTGAAATGAGCGATTATTCGCTTACCAGTTATTAAGGTTCCACACATTTAGCTGTCAATTCTAGGTTTGAACATTACATAACAAATTATGTTTTCTTAAATTTTTAATTTTTCTTTCCCCTTCTTGCCAGGTGCTTTTAGATCGTGCACTGGTCTGGTGCACGTGTAATGTATGTTTGAGACCACTGTTGGAAACTAATCTATATATAATAAGTCTACTTGAGTTGTGGCAAAGTGCCGCAAAATTCATGAAAATGAGAAAGGTAGGCATGTTGTTTTTCATGTGAGGCCAATTTGCTTTTGGAGAAAGTAATGGATACATGTGTCGAAGACAAGATTCCATTAACGTGAAAAACGCAAGAAATTGCAGCGAACATTTTCTACGCAGGGATTATGAAGATGACATGAAAAATCGTTTGCTTGAAAAAGAAACTATTAAAAATCTAGTGTTGTACCTAGAAAGAAAAATAATGTAGAGCATTTTTGAAAGACTACCGAATTAAGGCAGAAGAAAATTTATTTGAGACCGAATACGAAAATGATGATAGGAATAATAAATCAGACATAAATGATTTTAAAATAGAACTCACAAATGACTATGTAAACATTGCTAAATGTTCTAATTGTAAAACTAAACAAGAATTCATCAATAATTTGTAAAAAAAAAACATAGCTGAGCATTTTAGGTAATTTATAATCGGATAAATCATCAAATTAATTTCGTATAAAAAAAAAGAGTTTCTTCCTTATTTAAATGTAATGTACGTGTGCAGATGTGAATTTAAGTTAGACAATTATTTTATAAATATCTGTTATTTTATCAAATGGGAAGAGAAACATGCCAGTGTAAAGTTTACAGTTAGGCCAAAAAAGCAATCTGAGATTAGATAGTAAATTTACAGTTAGGCCAAAAATTATCTTAGATTAATTAAATTATCTTAATTATCTTAATCTTAGATTAGACAGTAAATTTACAGTTAGGCCAAAAAAGCAATCTTAGGTTAAATAGTAAATTTACAATTAGGTCAAAAATTATCTTAGATTAATTAAATTATTTTAATTATTTTAATCTTAGATTAGATAGTAATCAGTTAGGCCAAAAAAGCAATCTTAGATTAGATAGTAATCAGTTAGGCCAAAAAAGCAATCTTAGATTAGATACTAAATTCTGATTAAAACTATCGTTTCAAGAGTAATAAAATATAAGGCCCTCTTCATCTTTAACAGCAGAAAAAAGTTGCCATAAATTTCAAAAGTACACCAATCTAAGGGTCTTTTGGGGTAAGAGCGGCTTATTTTAAAAAGCTGTCATTAGAATTATTTTAGAAAAAACAATAGGATTCTTTCACTTAGTATGCAGATGAAGAAAAGACGATGAATGCCATAGTTTTTTCCTTTATGATTTAATAAGAAATGCACAGAGGGAAAAAATTGCAAAGTTTAAGAAAACAAAACTGTAGCGTACCTTAACTGTTATTTTAAAATTAATAAAAAAGTATTATTAACTTTTTAAACGTTATAAATGCATACAGTAATAAAATATTCTGTTCAAATTATAGCTACTTTTTTACGCACATTTCACTTTAAAACTGGTTTTTCAAATTTAAAACGTTAAATGTTTGCTGCGAATTTCGTCTTCTCGGTCAGTGTCACCATGACTATGTCATTACTTCTAACTTACTGTTTCAACGGGGGAAGCTCTATGAACTAGCCCTTCTCTTCTAAGTCCTGGAATAAGGTAGGCGCTGCTGCGACTTGTGTAATAATAATGCTTTACCGTATAGACAGTTGTTTCTGTTTCATCTCAACCAAGTGTGTATACCAGCAAGAGTAATACGATATTGTATTTTACTGTTTTGATAGACTAAGGTTGGTATTTATTTTAAAAATATTATAAGATATTATTTTATTTATATGATGAAATTACTTTTTACCCGTGGATAAATAATTGAACTTGAGTAATAAAGATGATGACGCAAATGGCAATGCTGCAACGTCTCTTCAAGCAGGATTTACTATTAAGCAGGCATCTAAGATGCGAAAAAGAAAATATGATGAGACATTTCTCCCATTTGGCTTTAATTTTAGCAACCATGATGGTAATGATTTGTTTAATTTGAAACAGCATTTAGGTTATTTAGATTATGAAACCATCTCAGCTGAAAAGGCGTTCTTAATCCAAGCATGCCTCATACACCAGTTAACCAAAAGAATATTTCTAACAACTGCGTTAGAGGATTTTCAAATAAATATAAACAATATTTTGAGAAATTTATGACTGTTAGCAAAAAACACTTACTCGCGTTGCACGAAGTTTCATATCTCATAAGGCCATATATGGCTCATTGGAAAAGATGTTGTATTACCTGCTGCCATTAAAACGACAGAAATACTTATTACTTCGAAGTGAATCAAATGACACTGTGACCAATAGAATACCTGAAACTAGCAACTATCAATTTGTACAACTTATTGTAAGATGTAAGTAACGATTCACTTGGACTTAAAACTAATGATTCACTTGGACGAACTATTGAGCTATGTCAGGTACATGTATCAGAAAAATTTGATGAAAAATTGCTATTTTGGCATTTTTTAAAATACATACAAGAGGGAAAGATATAAATTTGACAATTTTTTAAAATTGAAGGCTAAAATGAAAACATTGCATTGAGGTATGCACAGATAGAGCTAAAGATATAATGGACGAAAATACTGGTTTCAAATCATTTGTTAAACATGCTGATAATGATAATGCAATTTTTATACAATGCCTAATCCATCAAGAAGTTCTTGCAGAAAAAAGTAAGGTTTTATTAAAAAGACCAACATTTAGAAGAACAGGGTGGAAAATGATTCATTCGAAATGCTTTAGTCTATCGATAATTTTACAATAGAAAACATTAAAAGTTTAATTTCAAAAGTTATTACAAATGACTTACACCCTAAAAATACAATTACACAAATATTTAATATTAAATTTTGATTTAAAAAGGTCATTGTGGGTTCAAAAACCTTTTTTTATTGACATCAAAGAGATTAATCATATGCCATATAAATCCTGAGAGGAATTTATAGAACTGTTGTCTAGCAATGTGATATATTGCACCTTGATTTATTATGCAATAAAATATAAACATACTCGTCTCATCATGATTGTTTCCTTCATTAATTTAATTAATACTTGAAACAAATCCTGAAAGTATTTCTTTTCACATGTACATTGTTTATGGGAAATATATATTTTATCTTTACTCTATATTTAATATCGGAATCTTCAAACACGCTGGATGATAAAAAGGAATCGGGGATGGAAAACGTTTAAGAAGTATTGAGTTAGAGCATTCCGGTCACGAAGCGATCTATCTTACAAACATTAATATTACATTTATCAGTACCAATGTTTATCAGAAATACCGATCATTTTCAGAAGGGGTTGACACAATAGACTTCATGGCAGTTTATTTCTGAGAAGCTGCGACAGTGTTTACACTACATGGGAACACATCTGAGCTCTTTAATATCACATACTGTGTTCGACGGGCAACAATGAATGAAGTCTGCGCAACACACAGCATCTGTATAAGGACAGCAGCCATATCTGTCACATCCGATGAGGCAACAAGTGTCTGTGTCCAGGCATATCTGAGTTAGTCCTGGACACCAAATGTATTTCATTGCAATATTCATAACTAAAGCTGGTGTAAGACCATGTCTGTCTTCTTGGCACAAGATGTCCGATCCTTGACATGTTGTTTCTGTTGCACAACAGAAATCTTCATTTTCGCAACATGTTCCATTAAATTTAGGACAGCATTTCCACGTTCCAGATGTTTTACAACATGTTTGTCCCGCTGCACAGAAAAGCTGTTCTTTGCTGTCACACACTGTAATATCAGAAATCCCTGGAGCATCTGCAAAGTCGATGAAATTTTGGTCTTTGCTCAGTTTTATGTCTTGCTTGCTTCTAGACTTTGAAAGTCTCATAAGATGTGGTCGAAATGAGTCGTGCGATTTGACTGGAGCCTTTGCGGTAAATCTGTAGCAGCAACTTGTGTAATTATTTTCTGGACAGCACCACTTTCTTTCACTGGTTACGTCACAGCATTTGTAACCTTAAATATAAAGAACAAATAAAAATGACTAAATGCAGAAATAAGTATTTTTATAGTAAAGTTACAAATCATCATGTTTCCTAAATTGTCGATTATCCTGTTTGAAAATATTCAACGTTATATGGATCATCAAGAGTCTAGTGCACATTGCTCTGCAAATCTAAATTATTTCAGAGAATAGCACAATTTCTGGACTAGTCGTGAATACAGGAAACTCTGGATGATTAGTTATCTTTTATTTTCCTGTAGCTTTAAAAATACATGTTTACCTGTACCGCAAATGAGAAAATTTTATTTTTTCGTTTATCTTGCTTTATTTCAACATGTTACATAAATATAACAAAACGAATATAACCAAACAAATATACTACGTTAAAACAACAATTATGTTAAGCGACAGGAATGGGTGCAACGTGAGTAAATTTACATGAACGTAGTTTCAAAGATTCTCTTGCTTATAAATTTCGCAATTTGGTACTTAAAAACCTCAAACCAGATATATACTCCTGTGAAATTTGTAGAACTCCTTGCCGAGATGGTTTAATACGCATTGGTCGAGCAAATATAGCCTTGAAATTTCGCACAAAAAGGCGTGAAACTCGTATTCGAAAAAACGAAACTCGTAAATCTCATAAATCCTTCAATGCCCATCATTACTTGTTAAAAAAATCGCAGTTCCTTAACAAAATTATTCACGAAAATATCTTTCATTAGCGAACTGGTTATCCTGGAGGCGTTTCGCACCAATAAAAGTAAAAATTCCGTTTCCAGTGGCTTGAACTAGAGTTAACTGCGTAAAAAAGGGGCATCTTCATGAAAGACTTTCTAAAGAAAATTGTCTCATATCCACGTTACACATGGGGAAGATAATGAAAATACACATGCAGCCAGCCCGTTCGCCTAGAATCAAACACATGTCTAACTACCAGTGTTCAGCGATTTCAAATTACATTACAGGTGTGCCACAGCTGTGGCTACATTCATATTTTGATACGAATTTATTTACACTGGGGTTCTACTACCTAAGTGTGAATCTGAGAAGGAAAATGTAGAGAACTTTTATGTGTAAATGGCGCTATGCTCAGAAAATGTTGAATTAAGGTTTTGAGCAATGTGAAAAAAAATTGTGTCTCTTAATGAGAGGATGACTAATTATTTGTCTTTAAATCAATGTTTATTGCTGCATTTGAATCAGGTTGCATAGACTGTAGTCATGGCTTACTTATTCACGAATTCTGCTGATCACTATTAGGCTAGAACATAGCTTTCATTTTGAGGGTAAGAGAGAACTTTTTTTTTTATTATTATTCAGCTTGAATAGCTAAGGAAAAAATGAGCTACAGCTCGAAGTCTTATGGTTAAAATTACAAGAAAAATAGAAACTGTTCTTCAAGATGAACAGTTAGGAATAGAAGAAAAAAATCAGGAAATAAACGAGTGAAATAAAGAAGTGTCTGAAACAAATGCTACGTTACACGAATAAATACTAGCATAGAGTCACGAACATGATTAAGCAAACAGAACATGAAATCGAAATAGCAGGTAGCGAAGAATATGCAGAAAAAATAATTAAATGGAAATCGAAATTCTGCAGGTATTTGGAAGAAAACACTAAACCGGATCAAAGTACTAATCCTGATCAAAGTACTAATCCTGATGATTCGGAAGGAGCTTTCAGTAATAAATCTGATGTTATTTCTCGGTCAAAACTAGTGAAGCTTTCGAAATCAAGTATCTCAAAGTATTACATCAATGTCAGCTTAATTTTTGCAGTCAGTTTAAAAATTGCATTCATGAAAACAGAAGTTTATCACATACTGAACAATTTTCATACCTAAAAAGGCTATCAGAGGGGTTTGCGAAGAATACAATTAAAGGACAAATATATGCGGAGATCATCGACGACCGATGCTGACTCAGCGAATTACCAGCGTGACGTCATCGCAACACAGCTCAGTGCGGAGCATTCCAGACAGCGTCCAGAAGTGGACGAGAGTGGAGAGTTGCAGACGCGAGCAGATGGCTTGCTTCCCTTCAAGAGTTGAAGAAGACAAACGGTCTTCCTTTGTCTTTAGCTGATCATACTATTTAAAGCTAGCTGTGGATTTTAACATATAACGTATTCTATCAACGCCTGTGGAACTAATAGTGTGTGTAAATTCTTCATCATTATATGAATCCTGGGGACTGATAATTCATTCCTGCAACATTAATTTTTACTTAACCTTTATTACTTTTATCTATTTCTTATTAGCAAAATAAAAGCATTTAACAATGCAATATTCGTGCTCTATCGTTTTGAAAGTAGAACCTACTTATACTATTTAATATATATATATATACGGACGAATATATTTAATATATATAAGGACGAATATAATAAGGACGAATATATATAAGGACGAATATATATAAGGACGAGTGAAAATTATAAACGTCCCTTTGCTAAAAGAACGTTTCGGAAGGAACGACATTGTAATTAGTAGTCACATCATGAAGTTGGGCTCACCAGCGGCCAAGCGGTAATTGCGAACTTCGGACACTGGAACTTCGACCTGGGTTCGATTCCAGCCGAATGGGCTGTCTGTGTAGGCGTTTTCATGGTTTTCCGCAAGTGTAAGGAGAATATAAGTCTCCCTTATACAGTCCTCTACTAAAGCATTCCTTTCCTTAGCAGATAGCCCGTGTGATTTTCCATAATTAAATAAACCAAACCAAAACATATGACAAGATCTTGACCATGAAGTCACGAGTTTTCACAAGTTTTTATTGGTATGACGCAAAAATACAATTTTACATTACCTAATATTGGAAGCATGGATGAAACACCGATTAACGTCAACTTGATCAACAATGGAACTGTGGAAACAAAAAGCGTAAAATCTGTTCAAATCGAAAATACAGGCCATGAAAAGACCAGGTTTAGAATAGTATATAACATGCATGGCAGATGGAACAAAGTTAAAAACCGCGGTCATTTTCAAGAGGAAAACTACACCTAAAGTAAAATTCCAGCCAGGCATTTTCATGAAAAAATGGTGGTTGGACGAGACTGATGTAAAATTACCGATGGAAAATGTGTAGCCGAGGCGACCAGGTGCTCAACGAAATCAACACAGTTTGTTGGTGAGGGATATGTATCGCAGTCACTTAACTGAGAACATTAAAAATTCGTTTAGCACGGAACATTACTAAAATTGCCGTCATATCGGGTGTTTAACTTCCATGCTACAACATTTAGACGTCTTTCTGAATAAATCATTCAAAGATCACATGCATATACGATGAAATCACTGAAAAATGGCTGGCGAAATGTCGTATACGAAAGGACTGCGGACTATGCGGACTGCGTCACTTGATGTGCTTTGTGGTTTCGTTATTAAATCATTGGAAAGCATTAAAGTAGAAATAGTAATTCAATCCTTCCAGAAGTGTTGGACTTCTGATGCTATAGATAGCACTAAGGACGATTTGTTATGAGATACTGATGACAAAGTATAAACCGAGTCGCTAGGTACAACATGGGACACATATGACGAGTTTCCCAATATCGAAAGTTAGAGGAGCTATTTGCTTTAGGTGATGAATGTGAAGATTTTGCAGGATTTTAAATACATTGCTGAGTGATTTCCTTTATTTTCTAATGTTTTTTGCATTCCTGCTGTAAGGTGATTCCGGATTTGTGTCCTTTTTTTTTATTATTCAGCTATCGTCTTATCTGCGAAGATATAGGGTAAAAGCAAAGTTAAGTTTTAATGTCTTCAAAAGCAGAAAAAGCGATCAGAATAACTGAACACCCGAATAATTGGAATTCATATAACTGACATTCGTATAGTTTGATTATTCATTTTGTTGCAGACTCCATTCAATTACCAGGATGATCTTGCTTACGATAGTATTTGAAAGCTCAATTTTTACTCATATTGTATCTCACGTTAACAGCTTTAAAAATTTAATTCGTCAGTTTGCATATGTTTTTCAGGATGTTTTATATCACCTTAAGGCAATATGCGATGTGTATTATTTAAGAGGCTTCACTGCCTGGGTTTTCATGAGAGATATCGCCAAGACGTTGTATTAAAGATGCGAATCTTGCTTTGTAAATCCAAGACATTTTACATAGACTTGCAGATTTCTTTGCTCCTGTTGCCCTCGAAATCCATTGAGATCTTGATTAAATCTATCCCAAACTCAAGATTGTTGTGTTACTAACTTTACTTTATTACTTACAGCTGAACAGCCAGTCCTCTGCGGCAGTCAGTATACCGGCCAGGTAGCACAGCTGATAGGACTGTCGTAGAAACTGTCTAGATCAGCGGTTCTCAACCTTTTGACTAACACATACCACCTAAACAAAAACTGAAAAACATTAGTACCACCACTACATTTTAGAATGATTATTTTTCAATTTTACTAGAAATATAAGTATTGCCATTTGCACAACCTATTGGCTATTTGTATTAAGTACGCCCACGTAAAAAAACTATTAGATTTAAAATTGGTTACCGTTTTAATTATCAAAATTTAAGTTATAATACTTTAATTCTAAAATTTAGTGTGAAATTTGGGCCTGTTTAAGAGAGATCAATTTCTTTATGTCTGGTCTCATTTCATTTAGGTTTAACCCTAAATTAAGGTACACTTTTAATTTTGGTCTGTATTTATATTTCCGATATAACATGGAAAAAATCCTTGTTCACACAAACAAGTTTTAAAAAAAGGCGTTACAAATTTGATAGCTTTATTTGAAATTCCTTTCGGTTCAGCCAAAAGTTAACAAGTATGTCATTTTTGAAATCTTCAGTTCGATCATAGGAAATTTCTATTAAGTGGTTCTTTTTCTTTACGAGATTTTTGAATTTAATAGTTAAAAATACTGTGTTTCTTTGCGTACCACTGGTTGAGAATCGCTGGTCTAGATTGCAGGTTCTATAGACAGTCTTTGATAAACGGCAATAGAGTACTGTGCTTCAGCTCTTTTCATATTCGCCAATTTTTACTTCGAATGTGCTGTCCGATATTATAGAACTACTAATATAATTGTAGCACATTGTAACCAAATCTAGTGTTCTACAGAAAAACATGTCATAATAAAGCATCGCTATACAGAAAGAGGTTTAATATACTCCCATCAATTAAAGAATTTTTATACCAGACATATAATGGAAAAAATGTTATAATGAATGATCGAGTTATAATCAACTTCGACTGTGGCTTAAGCTCATGTTTTAAAGCATATTTTTGCACAAATGTTATCAGATGCATATTCTCATATATTTTATCATGAAACGTTTAGACTTACTTACCTTTGCCGCAAATATTGTGCTTGTCACAAAAGTTTGAAGTTGAACTGTGAAATATGTGTGCTAGAACCATTGTATGTAACCACCACAAGAGCATCATAACATTTCCTAGTTTTTGATGAAAAAAAAAAGTGAAAGAATAGTGCATGAATAACTGATCTTCAAGGAAATATAAAGATATGAAAAGTTAATATAAATGATCATTTAAAGCTAAACCAAGTCATACAGAAATGACGCGGTATTTCTAAAAGTTACAAATTTTTAAAACTGTAAAAATACACCTATTTCTAAATCCTGTCTTCAGTAAATTAATTAATAGGAAAAGCATATTCATTCTGTGTATTTTAAATGTTAATATGTATATATGACGCTACTGTAACGCACATTCATTTATAGAATGTTTGCAAATAAAGAGAGAAATTTATGTGATTTATTGTACAAAGTATAGGATAGGTGACAACTTCATATTAATATTTCTTAAAGAATTAAATATAAATGCCCTTTTACATCATACTTATATTGTACTGCAGCAGCTATAATTGCCGAACAGAAAAGATATCGCCCCAGATTCGTTCGCTCTTAGACAAATGTTAACGTTAATGGTTCAAGCATCGTTCTACGGCCCAAGAGATCGGAGGCTGTATTCCGACATGAGCAAAGCAGCTAAGAACCTTCACACGTGCCCTCAATCGTCGAAAATTGCCATTAATAATTTTAAATTGTAAAACCCAAGAGTGGGCAAAAGTCGGTCCACCTTTGACCAAAGGTGTCCTTTTAGTTGCTTAATGCGGCTTAACAATCGGCTATTATGATTGTTTATCCAAATATAGCTCCTCTTCCTCTGTCTCTCTCTATATATACAGTGTGTGGGATAACGAAAAGAATCTAGGTCATAGGAAATCCCAGATCATAATTCCTGCTATAAGTCGAATTTCGTTTATCTAAACAAGTTCTTGATATTAGGATTTCATTTTTCATATATTGGTAAATTTTGAAAGAAACTTTCATACCGAATGATGCCAAGTAGCGATGAAATTCGTAACAATTTCTGGAAAACTTTATAAGTTATTTCCAGCAAAGTGTAATTTAAATTAATCCTTCCTGATATTTTTTATTCTAATAGTATTATTAAGAGTATACGAGCTCGTAATGAGTTGAATGCACACATATCCCACTTCGAGGCATTGATTTGCTTAGTTAAATAGTCTAGACGAGTAGTCATTTGATCCACTGACTGCTGGACTTGATCAGTTCTGCCTGGGTGGTGGTCTTTGCCGGTTGTTTGCTAGATTTACCTCGTTACAATGCCTCGAAGTGGGATATGTGTGCATTCAACCCATTACGAGCTCGTATACTCTTAATAATACTATTAGAATAAAAAATATCAGGAAGGATATTTCATGAGTACATTAAAGCGCTTATAAAGTCCTTGACATCCGCTACTCATAGGAGCTTTCTGTATTTCAGGATCCCGGACGCCATCGATGAAGTACGGCAGGGACAGGATTTCCCTTGTTTCTCGCGGACACTCCAAAAAGGCGAGATGAGACAGCCTTTCAGCATTCGTAGCAAGTTCCTGGAGTGTTTCCGTGGATTTCTGTTGACGGGATTTTAATTGAAGCCTGTTGTAATTTTTTCAACCCTTCTCCTCAAAATGCAGCTCCTTCGCGCTGGATAGAACTTCTAAGTCTAGTCTCCGGTTTGCGGGAAGAAGTTTGATGGATATCCGCTGCGTCTGCTCTCTTAGATGGTAGGCTCTAGTTTTGGAATTTCATTCATTTGCGTTTGCCAATATAGGGAACTGAGACTCTCTCGTGTACTTGCGAGGAGGTTTTTCCGTCATACGTGAATACCTTTAGAGAGGCTCGGGACGGCATATGTATAAATTTAAGGCTTCAGAATTGTGACTAGCTATCAGGTTGGATGTCTTCAAGCTATCAACTTCCTCGGCGACAACAGCAGAAACTCTGTCATCGATTTTCTGTTCGACAGCAGAGACTCTTTCTTCGATTTATTGTTTGACAGCAGAAACTCTTTCTTCTGTTTCTCAAACTTTATTTTCCAACCGTGTCTATTCTGCCTTCCATAGTCTTAAGTATGTTTTCTATTATGGCAGTAATTTCTCTTTTCATTTCCTCTTGACCTGCTTCAATCTTTCTTGAATGACTAGAAGACGCCTTCCATCTTTCCTGCCCCCCCTTTTTCATCTTGTCATCTCTTTTTGGCCCGCTTTCATTTCTTCTTTGAATGCAGCCGAGGTTGCCATCAGTTGTTTTAGTTGAACCTCCATCGATTTTGTCATCGGCACGCACTCTCACTTCTGACACCAAAATTTGCTGCATGCATACGGTTTCGTAACGGACTTAATGCATACAGAAGAGATGATAGCTTGATCGAATTTATATTACCAAAAGAAGTAGTGTTTTAATTCAGAAAAGACTTCGGAGTATTGAGAAATCTCTGTGCGAGCTTCGAACTTTAGATGCGATTTGCATTGCCGTGTTTTTAACGTTCTTAGTAGTTTGAAGTGTAAAGTACTGATTGGGCTGTGTTATACTCATAACAGTTGTACGAGTACTTTCGTGGAGTGTTCCAGAACTGTAAAGTGTTTCTTTGGGGAAAAAAATTCTATCAAGCCATCATGTGTTCTGTGTACATTCAATCCATTACGAATCCGTTATCACGTAACAGTATAATTTCATGTGGGTCTACATAAAAAAATCATGCTTTGAAGTGTATACTGTTGCCATACGAAGTTCCAAAACTAAAGATAAGAAAATTAAATTAAGCTGCGGCCCACTTGTCGAATGCTCCGTGGCTTCGAAATTGAATATTTATGAGTTGATGCGTGATGTAATTGGAATTTACATATTATTAAATGCATAGAAGGAAACTTCGAGGTGTTTCTGTTTTCTGCTTGTGATAAACTGAAGGTGTGATAAACACTTCGCCCGTGATAAACTGAAGGTCTTCTATATGACGATGTACAAAATATCTCGTTTCAGCTTAATAACGTAAAAGTTCATTGCTAAGTACAGCCTAAATTAATCTTTAAAAATAATTTTACTTGGACTTCAAGATAATATTTTACAAAGCGGATAAATCTGTCAATCGAATAAGAATTTGCACTTATAATTATACCCATTATATTGGTAGCTATTAAATAAAAATATCTCACCATAATGCAGATAGTGGAGGTTTTAAATTTTAAGGTTTTTTTTTTTTTCATCAATAGAAGTATAAAAGAAACTTTAATTACAGAATAGAACACCTGACAATAAGTGTAGGCAAATAAAGCTTATTAATATTTTAGCGGTAGATAAAATAATACTATAATTTTATAAGTAGTAGCTAAGGGGTGATCCTAAAATCGCGCATATCGAGTTTTCAAAGAGTGTGGAAAATCCAGAATGGATATTAATGGCCTACTGTCTCAATGGATCGTCATCCTATTTTGGTACAAGTCATATGCCACTTGTAATGTCAATTAAAGTTTATGTTGTTATCTCTAAGACCCATTTGTATGACGCAAAATGGAAAAGAAGAGTTTTTCCCAAGTAGGTAAATTTTTATGATTGAGCATTACTTCTCATTCTTACGGTAAATTTGTTGAAGCATTTAAAGACGACCTTCCCAGATTTTCATGAATCTAGTAAGACAATGATTTTCTTCCTGGCAACATGATTTACAAAAACTGGAAAGATTCATCTTAAGAAAGGGATGGCTATCCGTCTCTTCGGAGTTCAATCAAAATCGACGGAGTCTGGAATAAAATGTTGCAATCACCAACACAGAGTGAAAAAATGATGGCATCGTAATCAAATTAATGTGTTGCGAAGTAGTGCTGAATTATAAAAATTCATTCTGTTTAGGAAAAGATCATCTCCATCTTCACCGAAAAACTTTTTAAAACCAACGGCGTAGATTTTCACTAAAATTTTTAGTGATGTCATAATTGTAAGGAGGGTTATCCAATTTCCCATTAATATCCAGTGAGTTTTTTTTCAGTATTTGAATGCATTTTTTCCTTATCACAATGATATACGAATCAAAAGAGAGTTTTTTTCAACATGATTTAGATTTGGGATATTAAATTCGAGTATAGCTTCAACTGTAGAAATTAAAATTTAAGAAAATAAAAACCGTCCTACCAACCCCACGAAAATTTCTCAGAACAAACAGAACATGGAATTAGAACGTAATTTATGATAATAACATAAAATTTGGGAAACTAAAATTACTTAAAATATAAGAACAGTGTTAAATAATTTTAAGAATAAATATTTTAATGAGTAATTAAAGTTTCTTTAAAATAGTTTAAACAAAATATACCCTTAATTAAATAATAAATTCATTAAAAAAATTTGTTAAGTTTGTAAATAATTAACAATAAGTGTTGCATTTCAGATGACATGTAGTTTGTATTTTATACGTACTTTCATTTAATTTTATTTACTTAATGTTTTTTGGCCACTAATAATTATTGTTAGCCCAAAGAGCTATAAATTTCGTTTTGGCATTTTGCGTTGGAACCTTTAAATGCCGATTCTCTTTTCAGATTGTTGCCACCAAATATTATCGCCCTGTGTTATATTTAAAGAAATTAAATAATAAAGAATCTGCATAAATGTATGTATGGTTCTCACACTGTGCTAAAACAACGGTACCTAGAGCCATCAAATTTGGAATAACGTAATCTTCTCCGACCGAATATGCGCAGCCATGGAAGTCATTGGAATTTGGAATTTGTTTTATTATCTATTTCATAGATTTGTAAGCCTTTAACAAATTTTCTTATTAACAAACTCAACGGTTTCAAAGCGAGCAATGGCAAAATTGTACGGAAAATAAAACATTTTTATCTCCAGCCCACGAGACTGTGTATCGGAAATTCTAAAGATATGCTCGTTTTAATATTATTTTGCGATATTGCTGTTGAATTGAATTTTAATTACAAAGAACATTTAATAAATAAAGGTAACACACAAAAGGTTAAAAAACTTTCCTTTGGGCTTACTGGCAACAAAACAACCTATGGAGTTATCAAAAATGTGTGGATGCAGTAGGTAAGCTTATTAAAAGAATATTTTGTCATTTACATGAATGAT